ACGCACCGGAGGGCTCGCGCGCGCGTTCGCGGCTCTTGGTATGGTATAGTGGCGGGGGAAATTATACCTCGCGTACTTAAGCGAACGTCGTAAACGCCAGTTAAATGAGATATAATATACCTTCTCAAACATATGCGAGTAGGCGGCCCAGTGGTACGGTGGTCGCTTTTCATGCAAGGGAACCGGGATCGAATCCCGGTCTGACGGATAAATTTTTAAATTATTTTCCACGCGCAGTGATCATAGGTGATGGGGTGGCGGGGGTACATCGTTAACGTGTGTGATATATGGTGTGGCGGTGGCAATGTATGGGGATGAGCAGACGGTATAGTGGGATGAGCAGTCGGTGTATTGGGATGAGCAGTCGGTGTATTGGGATAAGCAGACAGGTATAGTGGGATGAGCAGACGGGTATAGTGGGATGAGCGGACGGTGTAGTGGGATGAGCAGACGGGTATAGGAATTTGCCAGCAGGATGAGGTGTCAGAACTGTCTTTCTCTACCTACTCGTGCTGTAATCAAGTTATATACTTTTTTTAAAAAAGGCCTTTAATATATGGTAATAAACAATCATAGTTATATGGAAACAAAAGCATTTCTTACCTATTTTATACAGATGAGTATTTATTTTGATGTGTAATTCATGTATTTACTACATATTAATATGTATTTTACATATTTATTATACATCAACATTTATTTTTTACTATTGCGTACACTTTTAAAATGCTGTTTATGTTGCAGAATACGAAAATACTTTGGTTGTTATTTGTTTTGCAATTTATTTATGATTTAAACCTGGCGGAAAATGAATATGTACTGAGAAATGTATGTAATTGAATATAATTGTAATTGATAACTGTTGAAATATACAATTAATATGTAGTATATGTAGCCAGCCTTGACACGTGTGTACAATATAGTAACTAGTTATGTACGAGCATAAGACTCACTCTCTTCACGGATGTAACATGACCTCGGTCGTGCATATATATAGGGCCTTTGATGTATGTAATATTCACTTGCACAGGCGTCGTTGTACAGAGCGTATACGATGTGTGTGTACTGTCACAGTCTAATTGTCCAGTTGTACGTTATTATATATTATACTTATACATAATCATATTGTCGTGTTATTGCTTATTATATTAATGCTAACATCATTAGTCCGTCAAGCTTCACTTTCAACAATAACTTTACCTATGTAATTGGTAACTTTATGAAACTGAAAATTTATGTAATTAAAAATGTATGTAATTTTATATAAAATATGTGAAATATCGATGTTATTGTATAGAAAAAAAGCAGTCAAATTTGGATGTAAAAGTGTTAAAATAAGCTAATTTTAAGGTGTTTATTGACTATATAAAAAAGCCAAGGGTCGTCATATAGACATAATGTATCTACTAAGGTCAAACGTTAAAAGTTTATTCTGTAACCAAAAAATATAAATATCAAAATTCATCAGGTGCCAGGTTATTGAAGTTCATAAATTAAACTTTAAATTTATCTTGGTTTGCAATGGAATTTGACAATAAAAGAAATAACGAGAAAGATAATACATAATTAGTATTGTAGCATTTGTGGCGGCATATTTAGAAATTGAAAAAAATTATTTTGTTAGAAAAAAAAATGTTAATTTTAGGTTTCAATAAATTACACAATTCCGGACACTTCCATGTTTTATATATAAAAATGAATATGAATATTAATTGTCTGTCTGTCTGAGTGTCATTTGGTTGCCAGCTTTTATATTGATCAGCTAGTATACTACTATACTATAATAATAAATTATGATTCATTAATATTATATTTTATTGAAACCTATAGATCAACAGATGAATGTCTACTAATTTAAAATAAAATAACAAATAGGTATAGAAAGAATGTTGAAAAGGCCATGAATGGAAAATTTGCATGAACAATTATGGACAAGTAAAATAAGTTCCTTAGTATTCTTAATTGCTTACACATTTATATTAGGTAGAGATGTGAGTGCTGTAAATTTACCAGGTAAATTTTTACCGGTAAACAAATTTACAGGAAATTTTACAAATTTTTTTTTACCGGTAAATAATTTTTTACCAAAAAAAATGTTGTGTGGTACCTCTAATTAAATGAAATAAAAAACGCCCAGTCTGAATTGTAAAGAGATGTCTTTTTTATCATTTGATACAGTGATATTCTCATTTATAATATTGATATACTTGTTATTGTTTATATAGTTTGTTATAGACTATAGGTAGTATCAATATTCTGCCAACCCTACTATATTTTAGAACATTAAATATCAGTAGGTAATTAGGAAACATTTTATTTAGGCAGATCGTAGATACCAAGAAGGCAGATGATATGATATTGATAATATACTATTAATTATTATTTATGCAAAAGTTAAGTTTAAATATACATGTTTTGACTTAAAAAGTAATAAAGGTTATGTGAATTTTGATAGTTTAGTTTAATTTAAATTATTTATTAATTGTAATATGAATAATTAAATATTCATATTTCATAAAATGTACTAATTACTAATGTCTAACAGAGAACAATAGATAATATATGTATATTATCATATTTTAGATTTTTTGTTATTTATTGTTATTATTAGACAGAATTAGATTTAACAAGTAGGTATACAACATTAGTACCTAATACAAATCGTATTTACTAATGTATAATAGTTGAAAATAACAATGGCTCTAAGATTTAGCTATTTTACCATTTTTACCACCTTATTGGTAAATTTACCAATATTTTTTTTACGTAAATTCTCCATCTCTAATATTATTTAATTATAAAATATAAGATTACTAGCTGATCCCGTGCACTTCGTTGCCCGTTAAATGTACCAACTCTATATGACTCAAACTTTGTTAAATTCATTATTTAATACCTATTTGGTGTATGTTGTTCTAAATGTATCTTAACTTTACTGTTGACTGGAATAAAAATTCTGTTTCGCAGCAGTAAATTATCAGGTAGGCAATCTACCTACTGTAGATCGTGGACCCCGTGGTGTTTGTACGTAAGTGTATGATTTAACTCTAAAAGTCTAAAGTATCAAAGTTATTCCAAGATTGTCATTTTTACTTAATTCCACGTACCGTGGATAAATATAATCAATTAATACAAAATTCTTACTTAACCTAACCTAACCTTACTAAAATCCTATGAGTAAAAAAAAACAACTTTAACCCTTTTAGCCCATCTTCTCCCCAGAGGTCTAATCTAATATATATCTAACCATATAAATATACAGACTAAACTCTGGTACTACTTATCAGATCTTCTTGTATATATTTATATTTATATTTATATATAATGTATATTGACAAAAGATAATAATACAAATGAACAAACATGATTAACCAATAGCAACCAATGTATTATACACCAGTAGATTTTTCTAAAATTTTCTTTCATATTATAAACATTCTCTGTGAAATACTGTTTCGTTTAAAAAAAAATCTATACGATCTGATAAGTACCTAGTTTCAGAGTTTAGCCGGTACAGAGATTTTAATTTCATATTTTTATTAGTTAGATATTATATTATAATTTATATTTAAAAAGTAAAGCAAATAATTTTTTTATTATTATTATTATATAGCTTAAAACCCATCATTGCTTATAGACGCATAATAATAATACTGATTGAATATGTTTACATGTACAATAACAAATCGTCGATGTATATAATAAACGGTTTGTTTGTTCTCTTGGCAACGAATTAAAACGATCCAATATAATTCTGGATTGAAATTAATTCTAGAATGAATCATTTTATACGAAGTCACTCATGGCAACCATTTATAAACAAAAATTTCCATCTGAAATCTCAAAATTCCCGTTTGAGCACCTCCCAGGGTTGGTCCTCTCCCTTTTTAAATTAGCCTATCTTTTAAGTTCGGTCAAATTACACACATTGTAAAAATTTAATCAAGATCGGTTAACTGGTTTAGGAGTCCATTGAGGACAAACATTGTGACACGAGATTTATATATATTAAGATTAATATTACCTGTCTAGTACAAATGGAAGTAGGATTCTAAAATATATAATATATTACCATAGTAAATTTTCAACTGTCAACTCAATATATTTATCTGCTTAAGCTATAGTATACATACGCATCAAATACTTCCACATTATCTTAATTTTATACCAACATTTCTTATAAATACTAAACAGTTTTCACTATCAGCACAAAAGAATATAGAAAGTAATCTAATTGTCTACAAACATAAACCATGTCATATTTAACAAAACCCATTGGAATATAATAATAAATGCAATTACCTTAAATAATAATAGCTTCACTTTGCACCAACAGCTGAATACTAATACAGTAGTATAATTATTAATAATATATTATTTTTATTATAATCGTGAATATTTAGTATACTTCATATAATTTCACAGTCGAATATTATTCAAATTGTTAATTACATTTATAGAATGGTTTTTAAAAAATGTCAATATTATGAAAGCGGTTGATTCACTTAAATTTTTACATGAAAGTATAAAACGTTACTCTTGCTATTGTACAGGTAACAGCAGAATATATCGATACATTTATGAACCATGCATGGATTTGAAAAAAGGAAAGAAGTACAATACAAAATAAAGACCGCCCATAGGAAATGATGTTTACTTATTTCTTTTTTTATTATTTAAGTATAAGAAAATAACCGGATACTCATACTTAAAATTAAATGACAAAGTTAACGTAAGTTTGTAATTATTATTCAAGCTATAAAATAAGAACATTCACAATCATTAATGAAATATAAAATATAGGTATACAATAAAAAAATATTGAAATGCAATGAGATAATTACAATGTCAACTTATGTCTTATGCGTGTACTTGGAAAAGTCAAAAATAAAATTATACTACTGGGTAATGTTAATAATTGCACAGGATCTACACCAATTTCTTTATCCAGCTAAGGATTGTAATCTTGAATGCCTCCTGAATGGTCCTGAGAGAGGATGCTACTTTTTTGGAGTCCATTTGATATCACTTCCTTCCAATATGAATCTTGGTCGTTTATAATGTATTGAACTAACCAGCTGTTTAATCATCTCAGGCGTCACACAAATCACATGTTGGTCTTTACAGTACTTTAAAAGGTTCATAGACTGCAGCGTTGAAATGATATCCGTTTGGGTAATACTAGTCATTGTGCTACAATAAATTATTTAAACTTTTAACTGGTCTACTCGTTATCAATGATTGTTAATAAACGTTTACCTTAAGGATTCAATTGAAATAGATCCATAAGCATTTTTCAGAATTTCCAAAAGTGTCCATGACCAATAAGATGTGTATGACAATTTACCAAGATCACTCAATGGCTCTTCAGGACTGGCTACAAGTCCTTCCAACTTGCTCAATTCATAGCTGAACGCTATTAATAGTTTACCATAACCTTTTTTCTGGAATTGTGGCATTATTAATAAACAAGCTACATTGTAACATTCTAGTGACTCTTTTTCCTAAAATAAAAAAAGACAATTATTAATATTCACAATTTAAAGTTTTTTTTTTATTTTTTATGAAAAATGCAATAAGTAAACATACTTTTGAAAAATATCCAATAAAATGTCCATCATCTTTGTTAACATTCCAAAGGATGTAAAACAAAAATGGTTCAACATCAAAGTAGATTGTTTTATCATTTAAAAATAACTTGGCCATTAGACTAAGATTCTGACAGTATAATTTTTGCTGACTGGAATCTACTTCCCAGATTGATAATGATTCCTTATGGTACACTTTAACACCGGGTGGTTCTTTCCATGTACATTGGGTCTAAAATTTACACAACAGTTATAAAACAAATAAAAATTATTAAAATATTTAATTTAATGCTGACCAAGTGGTAGATGAATGAATTTTTTAATTTGCAGTATTTTAAGCAATATTCACAAATAAAAATTTGAGATTGCTTTTGGTATTCTCCTGGAAATGGACTAAAATACCATGTGTCAATTTCGTACATTCCCAACTGTACTTTACTGATGTACTTAATTTTATTAATCGCCTCGTGCTCTTTTTTCGATGCAGCCATAGTTGGATCCATCTTTTCATAAGACTAGTTAAAATAAAATACAATGAAATAAATTTAAATGTCTACAATTATTTTTATAGTCAATTTTTGTATTACATTTTTTGTAATAGCTTGCTACATTTAATTTTTTTTAAAATATGCTATAGTTTAAGCAGACATTTACATATATTTTTATATTTTTTAAGAAACCCACTGCAATAATAAACAAACAATATTAACTTCTTGCCAGAGATATTAATAGGATGCAGCACTCAATTTGTTTTCTCTATCCGACCCATGCAAAACATGGCGAATTTACATTAGTAAATTTAACTATTATCTTTGGTTTTTTGATTTTATAAATTATAAGGCAGAAAAATTTAAAAATTTTACAAAAAGACAGAGTCCAAACACAGATAACATTTTTACTTTAAGTTTGATAATAGAATTATAGATCAATACACAATTATTGTATTAAATCAAACAACAGTATTGGTTTTGTGGGACGCGAATCGGGTATGTCGCTTACGAGTCATAGAGAGAAAACAAAGTTTGCTGACATGCTTTTACAGTAGGGATCATTTTATGAAGCCCGTGATTACAATTTATGATTTGTATAAAAATATGGAAAATCACATTATGTTAGTTGATAATGTTAATTATAAATTAATATACCAAACAGCGATGAAACTTAAATAAATTAAATTAAACTTTGTTTAACATTTAAACTGTAAAATGTAAATAAAATGAGGTGTATGTCCCATAAACTTTATTTGTTTATTTTTTGGCCCTTGACGCCAAAAAGGATGCCGACCCCTGTATTACAGTATGGAATATAGCTACCATTAATACAAGATAACGTTTAACAATATGTATTTATTTAACATTATGATAAAAGATTAAATTAATATTATTTATTAAATAATAAGTTCTCTAACTTTATACTTTAATAACAATATTTAATAAAGGTAAACGTGTTGATTGGGTATTCACACGCAGGCCAAAATGACAAACGACAGAATTGCAAACCCACAAATGCATAATATGTGCTATCCGAAATAAGTCACTGAGTTTGAAATGTTTATAACACTATATTATTACAAAAATCTTAACAGTTTGGCAATTATTTAATTTGACCATACAGTAATATAGTGAATATTTTTTACCATTGGAACATGATTAATCTCGTCTCGTCTTCGTTTTCGGTTCCTTGAATTCATTATCCTAAACCATAATTTAAAGTTTTAACTTTTAAGTGTCTACTATAAATCAAAATTAAATGATTCTTACCTATCTCTCGGTACCCATTCATCCAATCTTCGGTCGTACCCATCATAATGTACCAAATACTCAAAAAGTTTTTTTGTATCATTGAACCTCTTATGTACGATTTCAGAGGGATCTAAAGATTAACAGACAAATAAGACTTATTTTATAAATTAATCAGTAACATAATATTAAGAAAAAATGTAAAAAATACATAATATATATCAAGTTATTGATCGATAATAAGTTACCAGTTATTTTTCCTGTTTAAAAAAAGAATGTTATATAAATCCCAGAAAATATTAAAATACAATCTTAATATCAACTTGTTATTTAAAATTTGTAAAAAAATAGTATTAGTTTTCAAATTAGTTATTGCCAATTGATTGCTATTATTCCTTATTAATTACATTTATCAGTTAATATGAATAAATGTGGAATCAAATTAAATGATGTCATTGCGTAATTATTTATTTGGGCCTATCATAAGGGAACGAACATGTAAATATTTTGAGGTTACAGAGGTCTTAACACAAATAGATATAGATATGTATATAATTATTGTATTTAATGATAAGACCTCTGCCAGAATGAGAGGCAAAGATAAAAACAATTTTTCTTTTATCCTCATTTCTGCTACACTTCCCTCTATTTTATTAATGTAGCCATGGCCTTTCCATTTTTTAATATCTAAGGTCGAGGGACGGGCCACAAAGCGACGCCACCACAACAACAACTATGGTTGTGACAATCGCGGGGAACAAAGTGATTGTCAGGTAGTGTGTGACGGAAAATGGGGTTGGGATGGCGCTGGAACCCGCTTTCGTTCTCGAAAACTAACAAAAGAACGACAAGTCGACGGCACATTCTTTTTGAGCTTTGAGTTTGTTGGACGACCTAAATATTGAATGCCACCGGTGTTGTCGTTTTACACACATAGTCGGGCGTCGGAAAAAAAAAATAATAATTGTGGGTACTGGGTATATATCATAGACATATAATATCAATATAATCTCACGCTTTGAGCACCGGACGACGGCTATACATTGCACAGCATTTGTCATTGCTACGCACCCGCACGAGCACGGCGCAAACCGGTGATTCGCGCGTACGTGACCACGCACAAAAATCACTTTGCGTTGCACCAGCCGGGGTGTTTGATGGTTCCCGGATTGGGCTTCAAAGAAGGATAACAGAAACGTATATTTAAGAATCGATCGATCAACTACCTCATACTATCAATACTATTATAATTAGTTATTAATAACAATACCAATCCAATTGTGTGTACTCACGCTCCGAGTCGTCGTGCCGGCGGACCATGAAGTGTTCGCCCACGTCCAACTGCTCGCCTTCCGATGGATCCTTGGGCTTCTCGCTCTTCGACGAGCCGTTAGCGGTTTTCGGGTAGTCCGGGCCTTTGGAGATCTGCTTTTGGTGTTTCTTCATTTTGACGGACATCGCGCTGTGATGAACGAATATAACAATTACAGGGCGACGCCTAAAACGATACCGTGTATAAAAAGCGCACAGTGGATCGAGATTATCGCAAAAACAATAATAATAATAATGTAAACGTTTCGATGTTTAACCCGGTGATTTAACAGTCAATCACAAGGACTATGTGACAACGATGAGTTTTAGCGTGAAATACCGTACGGCGCCCGCTACACTACTACTCTACTACAGCTAACAAGAGAGCGGCGCACATTGGCTTTGTTTGGGCTATGCGCCCCACCCTGCGCACCAGACTGTGGCGCCCTCTAAACGACCGCGGCATCGTCGTCATGGAACGGAAAATCGACGTTTTGCAGGGAACACAAGTACAATATTATTAATATTATTATTTATTATAATATTGAATTATTTAATAATCAGAATTTATCTAAATATTAAATAATACTATAAAATGACAACAACAACTTGTCTATTATCGTCAACAAGTAGAACGGAAAACGCATAACGAATAACTAAACGTTTTTAGGTGGTACGGTATTTAAATACAAGCAAGCATAACAAAAAAATTAATTAAAAATCTAAATCTAAATCCAAATCTAAATCTAAAATGTACAGAATGATTTAGCTTATTTAAAAAGTAACTTTTGTTTTCTCACCGATCCTATCGCTAACTTAGAAAAAGTACACTATACCTTGATGAGGGCTTAAAAATAATTTTAAATATGAAAGATAAACTGTATTGAATTGGTAAAAACTAAAATGGATTGGGTACTAAAGAAGAACAAGGGATTGAAAACACTTTTAAAAATATGTAGCATTATAAATAGTGAATATGAAATGGAAGAAGATTTTAATATTATTTAACTCCTGGACAAATCGCGTCGTTTAAATATAATATGCTCTATTATTATCATGTGATATCTATTCTACGTTCAAATCGCCAGTCGTTAGTATTTGGAAATTTGAAACAACATAATATGTTGATAATATTATTATCATGGTAGCATATAATAATATAAACTATTATATTTAATCTAATAAATAATATAAACTAATATTAATTTTCGGTAAATAGTTAAATTGGGGTAGTCGGTACCAGGGTCGTACGACCTAGTCGCAACTTTTTCTTCAGTTTTCATGTTTGTGGAGACGGCAGTATGCAACCATAGTAGATACAGTTAAAAATATGTATCGTCTACATGAATCACTATCACGGCATGTGTTCCTGGTACATATTATATTATATTAGGTTTATTATATTATATTATATTACTATTATTATTAATTATTACGAACTATATTTCAATCGTATTCTATAATAATACCGTTGATTAAGTTGGCTCCAGCGTATCATGTTTTAAAGAGTAATATTTAGGCGATTCGAAATACATGTGTACATTTGGGCTATGATTATGTATGAGAAGTAAATGAACACTAGTGTGTGTAATCCGTTATCGCTTTTATCACAATGCCGCCCACCCAAAAATGTTTTATTATTAAATAGCAATTTTTACTCAAATTTACTAACTATAGGTACATGTGATAATTAACTCTTATAAGTTAAAATAATAATAAATTATAAAATTTTTTTTGTTAACTATTTTCAATATATTAATTTAATATACGAGCAATTTTAAAATACAATTTATTAATTATGATAATGGTTAGTGCATAATTAATAATTATGTACCTATATGTACCTACCTAATAAATTATATTTTTTAAAATAATTTTTTACCAGGACATTTTTTCCGTTTATTAGGACTGGTTTTCCCGGACTTTTTTTCTCCAGACTTTTTTACCATTTACCAATTGTACAGTGACTTATAATATATAGTATACACAACAATATAGTATATTGTACAATCACTTTTGTGATTTTTCCATATTTTGTCAATTTTTGAACTGTAAATGCTTATAAAAAAAAACTGTAACTAATGATTTTTAATAATTGTTATCTTCCTTTGAAACAATATAGTACGATTCTTGTATTAAATTTTCAAGTATTTTTACTCAACCAATAAATTTTTATTGATATTCATAAAAACAAAAAAAACTAATAAAATTTGGAACTGAAAATGTCCCTAAACAGTTCAAAATAAATCAAAATATTTTGAAAATGTTATCGTGTATAGAAAATGCAAATATAAACAATCAGTGAAAATTTCATGTATCTACTGTCATTTGTTTTAAAGTTACAACAAAAACTAAAATCGATTTTCTCGAAAACAGATTTTGCGTAAAAATTCTAGTTTTTCCTTAATTTTTCTTTTGTTTTTCCCTGCGTTTTTGAAAACTACTTTGAAATTTTTACTTTTGACCCCCCAAAGTACCAACTAGATTCACTTTCCTATCAGAAAAGATACTTTTACTGTCCTAAAAGGTGATGACGGACACAAAAAAAAAATTAAAAAAAACACACATCATTGTAAAATCAATATATTCATTGTTCCACTCAGAATCTAAAATACAAAATACATAGGCACAATTTTTTTTTTATAAGCATTTAAGTACTTATATAAAGTTTGATTTTTGCAAAATAAATAAAAATCACGAATATGTGCAAATTATTTTGAGTTAGAAACTTATAAAACCTTTTATTTTTAAATCTAAGATTATGATTGCAATTTTAATTCAATAAATTCATATTTTTTTAGTTAAAGAACTATAAAAGAAATAATAGTTTAGGCGATGCTTTCGGAAAAGAACACACCAAGTATGATAGATCTGGTTCTCAAGCATCAAAAAAACCGAAATACTGTTATTACGATGCTTTGTCATTTTTAACACCGACATTTACGATTCGACAGTAAGTTTAGCCTACTTTAGTTACAAAATACACCTACTGTATACAATATACCTATATATGTACCTACTTATTATATAGAATTAATTTTTAGACTATTTATTATATATATATTATAAAATGTTCTTAATGCTTTGACTCGATTTGAGCTTTCTTAGTCATGAGAATTTTTAGGATTTTTCGTATTTTACAATACGCAATGACATTTTCAAAATATTTAGAGTCTAACTTGGTTATTACATGATACCTACCAAAAAAGTAATATCCAATCACAATACGATTCGATCGACACGACGCACGACGCAGCTGTGAATCCGGCTTTACCGTGGCCATGGATACCACCGTAGGCAGGTACTATAAACCTGTGTCCTATGGGTACTACACCTACAGTAGGTAACTATTTAGAGCAGCACTATAGGCCAAGTCAAACGGAGAGCGGGCTGCCATGGTGTAGCGGTCGGTTGAATTATTTTACAGGCGTATTAACCGCTTTCTGTTTGACTGAGCCTTAACGAACAATATAGAAGCGACACAAGATCGGATTCTTGCATTGAGATGGATCTGCTGATAAAAAAACATAGGAACGAGCTTGTCCACGAATCTGAGTTTATAATATTATTATGTTTGTTTACCGCAGTTACGGAAAGGTTTTCTGCCGTCGTTTTCAAGGCCGTCCAGCCATATATATTATAAAAGCTCATTGCAGTTACAATTTATTATTGTAGAAGTAAGCAACAATATTCGAGTGTACGTTGTGCTTACGGAGCTGTGTTTACAGCTTCAGATGCAGTTGTTAACCCCAATAATATTGCGTTAGGTTCAGTAGTGGCTCGTGAGTAAATAATATTCTGGGGAGACTTTAATAAAATTATAACTTCTACGATTATTGATTTTTCTAAAATGCAATAAATAATGACGGTTTACTACGGTACCACACTAGGAAAAAAAGTTCCTGTAAAAATGTATAAAAATAATATATAGAATATTTGGGTACAGGATGTCGGTACTATAGACGTACCGAAATTAAAAGTATACTGCTACAATAAAACATTTTGTCCAAATTCCAATTATTTGCAGTTTACAAGATAAATTCGATGCGTCTAAAGGTGCTATATATAATCTATAAAATATTTGGTTTCCCGTCTACCGGACGTCACTTAAAACACAATACTATATTATTGTGTCAGTACCTTTCTATGCACATTTTTTTGTCGTGTCTTTAAAATGTTATAATGTGTTATATCGTTTATTTTGCTAGATCGAAGTCCAAAACTCAAAACTCCACTTAATAACGAACAATACATATTGTAACGAAATATACTGGGTGATTCTTTTATCAAACAACACTCATTATTTCAAAAAGTGTAAATTTTTTTGAAAATATTTTTTTACATAGTTTCAAGTCGCTTATAAAACAACGTTTTTATTAAAAAATTATATTTTTAATTATTTTTTATCCTTATAATTTTTTAAGTTTTTTACTTTTTTGAATGACAACATAGGGTTTTAATTTTATATTCTAAAGTAGAATATTTTTCTTAGTATTTTGATACATGAAAATTGAATTTGGGGCGAGTAGTTTATGAGTTATAAGTAAAAGTTTAGACGAGAGGTGAAGTGGAGTGGAGTGGTTCGGGGTTACCCCGCGAAATGTTTGTCCACTTCACCGCTCGTCTAAACTTTAAATACTTATAACTCATAAACTACTCGCCCCAAATTCAATTTTCATGTATCAAAATACTAAGAAAAATATTCTACTTTAGAATATAAAATTAAAACCCTATGTTGTCATTCAAAAAAGTAAAAAACTTAAAAAATTATAAGGATAAAAAATAATTAAAAATATAATTATTTAATAAAAACGTTGTTTTATAAGCGACTTGAAACTATGTAAAAAAATATCTTCAAAAAAATTTACACTTTTTGAAATAATGAGTGTTTTATAAAAGAATCACCCAGTATATTTATATACACAATAATGCGCTATCGACTTGTAGGTACGTGCAAACTTCGTGGTTTTGTCGATTCCGCCGACTGCTTGTTGAAAAATAACTGATGTATCGTATTGTACAACATTTTCTTATTAACTTTTTATAGTGGTCCATATTGTAAACCACTTTGTATTCACACTTATATTATTATATTCTGAAATTTTTATTGTTACTGCAGGTGTGGCCATTAATATTCCGAAGGTCTG